TGTATATATGATACCTTCCACTGTGTGTGTGTGCGTTTTATGGAAGCTCACTTTCTGTGTGGAACATCGCCATCAGGGACTTGCTTCCGGCCATGGTGTTCCCCAATGAAGTCTGACAACTGGACTGCAGCTAGACATTGAATACGCAACTTTACAGGTCATGTCCAGCTAAAACATTAATAAGTCAAAGTCATCCTGTGCGGATAATTGCGATGGATGTTGCAGAAGTGAAGGAAAGTGTTTCCAATGCCAACAATTGGTATCCCTTTTGCCGTGGTGTTGAACTCAATGGACGACTCAGGCCATTCTAACATGTTCACGTAGAGGTGAGAACACAGCGCTGAATTTCTGCAGGCGTTGTTGGCCTCTGTGTTTGATCCGATTCAGCAGGTAAGCACCTACATATCTTTATATGCTATGTAAGTATCACATATTATGCGCGCGTATTATACATATATATATATATATATACATGCATAGCATGCATGTGCAACATATTGTACATATGCATATTCATATGTTGCGAAGGCGGGGACAAGACACATATTCTGTGTGCGCCAGAAGTGGCAGAGACCTGCGAGGCAGAGGGGATGTCTGCTGCTTGAGTTTGCTACTGAGACTTTCGTTGTGTAAGAGCTCCCGGGCATGATCAAGACAGACAGTTGGTACCGGTCTACACAGCTATACATCCACATGTCATACTTGGTTTGTAGTTGGGTGATTCTCAACATTGGACACGGACTCCTAAAACTTGCGACCGCATGTGTGTATGTGTGTGTGTGTGTCTGTGTCTGTGTGTGTGTCTCTGTGTGTCTCTGTGTGTGTGTGTGTGTGCGTGCGTGCGTGCGTGCGTGCGTGCGTGGGTGCGTGGGTGGGTGGGTGTGTGGGTGGGTGGGTGTGTGGGTGTGTGGGTGTGTGTGTTTGTGTTTGTGTTTGTGTTTGTGTTTGTGTTTGTGTTTGTGTTTGTGTTTGTGTTTGTGTTTGTGTTTGTGTGTGTGTTTGTGTGTGTTTGTGTTTGTGTGTGTGTGTTTGTGTGTGTATGTGTGTGTGTGTGTGTGTTTGTGTATGTGTGTTTGTGTTTGTGTTTGTGTGTGTGTGTGTGTTTGTGTTTGTGTTTGTGTGTGTGTGTGTGTGTTTGTGTTTGTGTTGTGTGTGCGTGTGTGTGCGTGTGCGTGTGCGTGTGTTTGTGTTTGTGTTTGTCTGTGTGTGTTGCGTGTGTTTGTGTTGTGTTTGTTTTGTGTTTGTGTTTGTGTTTGTGTTTGTGTTTGTGTTTGTGTTTGTGTTTGTGTTTGTGTTTGTGTTTGTGTTTGTGTTTGTGTTTGTGCTTGTGCTTGTGCTTGTGCTTGTGCTTGTGCTTGTGCTTGTGCTTGTGCTTGTGCTTGTGCTTGTGCTTGTGCTTGTGTGTTTGTGTTTGTGTTTGTGCTTTGTGTTTGTGTTTGTGTTTGTGTTGTGTGTTTGTGTTTGTGTTTGTGTTTGTGTTTGTGTTTGTGTTTGTGTTTTTGTGTTTTGTGTTTGTGTTTGTGTTTGTGTTTGTGTTTGTGTTTGTGTTTGTGTTTGTGTTTGTGTTTGTGTGTGTGTGTGTGTTTGTGTTTGTGTGTCTGTGTGTGTGTGTCTCACTTAGCTTCCCGTCTGCCGTCCAAAAGGGTTCCTTCCCTTTTTCAGGCGCCCTAAATGCCTGGTTGCGCTCTTGGTTTCTGTAATTAAGCAGAGAAAGGGCCCCGACTTTGGGGCCGGCAACCCAGCGGCGCTTGGATCCCCGGCTGAGCGGGAAGTAGAGGTCCAAGCTTGCCAGGAAGCCGCCTTGACGTGAGGGGGGGGGCGGGCACGCCCTGCAGTTTTCAACTGTAGGCTTCTCACTTGAGTTGGCGAATCAACGCTTTTGAAGTTGATTGATGTTTACCAAAGTTCTAGCTGTACCCTCCCCATTCTATTCAGTGATCCTTCTCTTCAAACAATGGGACAAACCCTGGAAAATATGGCTGGAAAAGAGGGATGGGTGAAGAGAATGGGGAATCAAACTTTAGAAAAGTGACTTTGGAACACCTGGTGCATTGTATGTGTGCCCCCCGTAGTGGTACCACCGGGGGAATCGATCCATGATCCAAGCTCACCGCCAAAACAATGATGATTCAACCCTTGACTGTACACACCCTGCTCATAGTCAACTCCGGAGTAGTTAGCAATCTGGTTCATTCATGGGGGGGTGTTTCAACCAACCGCTGACGGATGCGCTCTTGAGTGAGAGACCTGTAAATGCATCAACAAGGTGCTTATTAATCCTGGGCTTCCACTATATAACGGAGAATTTCCATAGTTGCTCGCCGAGAAACATGCCAACAGGCAAACCATGGACGAGCTTCTCGTGCGCAAAGGGGCCAGAGGCAAAAAACAAGTGTCCCGCTGGAGGAAAAAAAAAAAGCGCCTGCCAAGGAAAACAGGGAAGGCCAGTTTCCCTACACCGGACACCACTGGACAAGCAAGTCGGCAGCCATGTGATTGGTTCTCCTGAAAACTACAAGCGCAAACAACTGAAAAGCTGCATCTTCACTTTGCCACATCCCGGTACATCCATCCCAGCCGACACCCCAGCCCAACGGGGTGCAGGGCTGAACACGGCACGCGGGCCCCAGAGGAAGCAAAGGTCCTGGCGCACGCCCGGGCGAAGGCAACTCGCCGGGAGAGCCGAGGTATGCTTTTGGACACTGGAGTAGGGTAGAACCACGGGAAGCGGGTTGACGGGTGCATACTATGCGCGAAGAAACTGGCAGGACAAGCTCAAGGAAACACGCTCCTGGAAGAGATAAGCATAGCTTGCCAAGCGCCAAAAAACAAAACAACATACTAGGCGAGATACTGATATCTTCTGTTTCAGATATTCTGTTTCAGACATTGGCGACCCTCCCTTCCCGAAGGCAGAGATCTTCTCAACTGGGCTCCAACTATTGGTCAGTTTCAGTGAGAATTCATCTTGGTTTAAGCTCCAGAAAGTATTTTGGGTGTGTTTTTGTGGATTCCGGCAGTTCTTCCCCTCTGTGTGACACACAGCGTCTTTTTTGGATTCCGGCAGTTCTTCCCCCCTGTACGGTACTGAAGCCAGGGGGGATCCAGACAAGCCTCCCGACAAAACGAAGCTGAAGCTATAACAAATTGCAAGCCTGAAACAAGAAATGGACCCAGGCACCTTAAGAAGTAAACAACTCTTTCCCCAAGCAGGTAGTACAATGCCAACCCTGCTGTCAGTGGAAGGCTTGACAGGAAAAATGTGGGGTGGAGCGGGTCAGGCTTCAAGGTCCGAACATTCCAATGCTCAGCCTTTCCGCCTTCCCAGCCGAAACATGTCAAACGAATTCGATGGCGGTTGGACTGACGGCTTGAAGACGCCCCGTTTGGACACAATAGACAGATATAGACAAAGACACGGACGGCTTGTGAGTTTCCAGCTGGTCTCTTTGTGCAAACCAACAAGGCAGCCCTTTCCCCTTGTGCGCCGACGTGCTTCAAGAGATCGCATGGCATACTCGTCTCTCGCTGCGAAGAACCAAAAGTAGCCAATTCATACCACAAAGCTTTGCTTCAAGGGACCTTATCCAAGCGTCTACTGGTGTCCACCCCATGTTCGACGTTTGGAGAACCTCCGTTCCGATACATGTGCGCCACATGTAGGGGCCCCAAAGCAACCGGCTTTCCGATTTCCCATTGTGCTGGCACAGCCCTGCGGTAGGTTTCAAAATTGCCAACATGCAATCAGGGTGCAAAATAAATTGGGAACCGACCCTATTTCGGATGATGTGTTTCAAGAGAGACCCAAGTTGGAGCCACTTTTGTCCATGTCCTCTTTTCGGAACCCAAGTTCCGAAGCCCAGCAGGTCAAGGGACCCTTTTTGGATCAGCTCCCGCAGTCCCACAGGCAGGCGATGAAGGGCAACCTCGCAGGGATCTGACCGAATCTCCCAAACTGGCGGCTTAGAAAACTCCCCTGGCATCTGAAGTCTCTCCTTTCTGGCTCGCAGAGAAGCAAGAATTATGCTCATCAATCGGCATCATTAAAGGGGCTCGAAATAGTTCTCCTTTTTATATCAACCAGAAGGGGCCCGTCTGGAAGTGCCTCCCCACACAAGAATCAAAGCATCGTTGTGCGTGTCAAACAGAATCATGATCAATCTTCAACCTGAATCAAAGGCGAGATGTATGAGCCCTATCGGAATCGAGCTCATGGGTTGAATGATCGTTATTCAAGGCTTACATATGGAAACTAGCCACCAAAGCAAAACCTCCAGGTGCTCTTTTTGGGGTCCCAAAAAAGATCCCTAGGGCGAAGATTTCTTAGCATTCAACATGCTCAATCCTTTTGCCATATGCATGGTGGGTTGCCGCAAAATTCGAAGATCTCCACTGACTGCAACTGTTCGAAGGGCGATCGGCTTAGACTCTGGCAAGCCCTAGGTGTGTCAAAAAATGGTCCAAGCCTAAGGAACAACCCCAAGCGGCAAAGGATTCTGCAAGTATCACAAGCGTGAGACGAAGGGCCTTGGAGATAATTGGTGCTTTGGGGTTGCAAAAAGACTCATAGATATTGAATTGCCACGCTGTCCTAAGCTGAAATGAAGATCCACCTACTGCACGAATCAGCCACCCAAGCCACGAAATGTCGGTGTTGCCATTTGGCTCCCCGTGAGGTTGGCTTTGGCCCCACTTTAAAACCTCCCCACACCAGGTTGCCCAGTGTGAGACATCCCCATGTCAAATGGCAAGCTGACATACCGTCATTAAATTGTTTCCTTCAAAAAATCGCTGAATCATTGCTACGAGTAGGGTTCCTGTTCTTGAGGCTCCCTGCTAGTAGCTTCCCTAGGTTACCATTGTTTTGATAGGCCTGTTTGAGGTCCCGCCTTCTTTGGGATCCTTGCTTAGGTTCCCCTTTTGAGGTGTTTGTTCCAAGCTGCTCTTTCTTCAGACATCGGAACTAGGTTCCCGTTTCGTACACTGCCCTTTGCTGGAACTCCCGCTTTGCCGAGATGCGAGGCACCGGCGGAGCCAAGCGTCAGAAAGTAGTCCACTGTAAACCAAAGGACCTGGTCAAACGCTGTGAGAAAGGACCCTGTAAGTTTCCGTGGCTTGTGTTTGATTTACGTGCAGTATGTTGGCTGTCTGGTCTTGCTTGTTCAAAGAAAAACAAACATCACATGGAAACATCAAGAGCAAAACACGAAAACTGGTGTGCTCTTGATTGACTTTGTGCCCTTTTGTGGTTGCTTGACAGGGCAACCAAAGAAAAATCACCCAACGGGTCTTTGCGGCTTAGTCCATATTCGGCAGGTGTCACGTTCCCAAAACTTCTTGAACATTTGAAAATCACCCAAAAGAAAGCTTGCCTTAAGTAGGCCCCAAGAGCAATGCTTCACACTACGAAAGGGGCAAACAATTGTGGGTGTGCCCACTGACAGTGAAGTCGGGTGATAAACGCCAGCCTCCTTTCCTGCTTAGCGATGCCATCCGCACACTAATTACAGCAAATAACGATGAACATCCCCAACAGGATCAGTTGCAACCAGTGGGAAAGGAGAGAAGGGCCATCCACTCAACAGCTGGGATTGTCATTGCCAAAGCACTGGGACCCCATACCAAATGCAGGGAGTACTCTCGGCTCCCTGCAAAAACCAAGAAACATTCCAATTGGTGTATATACATTTAGCAAACTGACATATGAAGGACATGTTCAAGTATCATCCCTGTAAGTATCGGCTCCCCCCTTACAAGCCTCTTGTTCGGCATGTATCCGAATTCTTGGGTATACACCCTGGCAAGTCTCCTATTGTGTGTGTGCGCGCACAAAAAAGAATCCCTGTGGGGAACCCCCTACTTAATGCACGCCGATGTTTGTACAGGGGGCAAAAGTTTGTCTTGGAGAGCTCGCGTATGGACATGTCTCAATGTCAATAAGTTCGCCCTTGGCCCTTGGCAGTTTCCAAGCGTGGGAATGCGCCCGCACTGGGCGCTTGCTTGGTAACACACAAGGAGGCACGCACCCATTTCAAACACACACACACACACAAACGCGCGCGTGTGAGTAGGTGCAAGGTTTGCTATACAGTTTGGGTGACTCGCGTATTCAGAAGCGCTGAGGACGCCGATAACGAAAGGTGCTGAAGTTGTGTTTACCGGAAAGCCCTCTGTCTACTATCGCTGTCGGCGGTTGAAGACACAAAAACATTCCGCGATATAAACGCCATCAGCTTTCCAGGAACAATCCTTGAACACCGGTGACATAGCAACAGCCAGGTTACGAATTTGCTTGCAAGCTCAAGAATGGTTCGTCATGAGCGTGTTACAAAAAAAAAGAAGAAAGTGTACCATGCAAACAATCTGAGTCTTTCGTTTACAATGTTTACATTACATCGCCAGTGGCAGAGTCAATGTGCTTGGACCCACGGCTTTCTCCAGACAGGTTTCAAAGCGGCATCACATGGTTTCGCAAGGGGCAGGTTTTGAAGCGTTGCGCACATCCCACGTTTAGGGGCAAGGCTGGCTTAGTATTGGTTTAGGCCAAAGTCTAGCTTAGTGTTCGAAACTTTGGGGTTTGGAAAACAATGTTTCACTTCCGGGGAGGCTGAAGCCGGCTACGGCCGATGTGGACCAAAGGGGGATGCCCAAAGGAGTGAATCGTTTCGCCAGGTCGGAGCCTCGCCTCAATGCCTGCGGACTCAAAGGCAAGAGCGTGCCGCGGCAAGAAGGTCCTGCCCGGAAAATCAAGAATCAAAGAAACCCATCTTAGCCAGGCCCAGGAATCCGACAAAACAAGAGGACTCCTCCAACCGTGTTTTGTCCACTCTCGTTCAAGTGCTCCAAATCAGCTCTAAGGCACCCGAAAACACGGTCAAACACCCGTTCATGTTGTGGACAATTAATTGCATGTCTGTGATACCAAGGTGGGCCACCCATACGACCACTCTGTCATTCAGGGGATTGCCTTGGTATCACAGAAAGTGGCAAGCAAAAGCCATTTCCCACAACGGTGGGAAATGGAAAGTCACCAATCCGATGGCGTTGGCGCCCATGATTATTGGATAAATGGACGCGTAAGCACGAAACATACGCACTCGTCAACAGGAGATTCTTCCGTTTCCCTGCAGATCAAGATTTGGAATCTGATTGATACCACCCTCGCCACCCCAATCTCCCAACAAAAACAAATACATTCTCAGAATCAGCGTTTTTTTCTGGATCTCCCTCTGGCAACCCCCCCATTAATTAGCCCAGGATTTGTTAATCCTCTTCACTATTACCTCTAATAGGCTAGCAGCAAACCTTGAATAGGCTGCCAGCGAGAAAACTGCACTCGAGCGATGCTTTTCCTCTACCAATATTTTTTGGTTGTGATTGTGGCCGCGACTAATAAGGCCTATTAGGGGCTATTAGGCTTCCTATTTTTGGGAGGGTCCCCTCTTTGAGGGACCCCTGACCATGGGATACATTGGTCCAGTTCTGGAGAGGATCCTTCACTTGTGTGGGGAACATCCTTCGACCCGGCCCTTTAAGTAACTTGTTCAAAACCTGGATTTCGGATTATGCGGTTCACTGACTAGATCATGCGGCTTACGGATTGCAGATTATGGTTTGCGTGGATGTTCGATGCTGCATCACAAAGTTTGGGCCCACAATTTGCAGCGTGGATTACGAATTGAGAAGATTAACGACCAACCAGAACAAGGATTGAGACGATTGATTGCGGATTGTGCTTCGGCGCCCGGGAATTCGAACAATCTTAGATTAAGCACCCTTACTTGCAAGATGTTGTGTGCTGTGACCATCTCGCCTTGACAACCAAAGGAATCTAAGAACTGTTTACCGTATGACCTGCCTGGAGGCTTTTCCACGAATGGCTTTTCGGCTTCGCTTCTCGAGTGGGTGAACAAAATGGGCGAACTCCCCGTGGCTCAAAGTGCAGCCAAGGTGCTGGATCAGGATGTCCTCAGTGACCAGCGGCGGTTGGCGTCTTCACTCCAATGGATTTTGAGACGACTCGAGGAATCTGATTCTTGGGGGAAGCTGCACTGTTTCCAAGTTTATTCCATGAAGGCGTCTCTTGAGAACCAGAAACTCCAACATTCTTTGGGGGAAGCTGCACTGTTTCCAAGTTTATTCCATGAAGGCGTCTCTTGAGAACCAGAAACTCCAACATTCTTTGGGGGAAGCTGCACTGTTTCCAAGTTTATTCCATGAAGGCGTCTCTTGAGAACCAGAAACTCCAACATTCTTTGGGGGAAGCTGCACTGTTTCCAAGTTTATTCCATGAAGGCGTCTCTTGAGAACCATATCCTACTCAATAATTCTCGTATCGCTATGGTCAGTTGTTTGCAGATTTGCAAACAAAAGTGAAAAACACCCGCGAAAGACCTGAGGCCTGCAGACTGCCAAAACCTGTGCCCCTTCGTCCACATAGGATCAGGAAAGCCACATTGAATCTAACAAACTGGACATTGCATGATAACTTCATCCCAACAGAACCGTGCAAATGTCAATGTCAAGCGAAAAAAACGCAGGCCCCATGGAAGCCCCTTTTATATTCAAATGGCTGTGGGTCAAGAATAGGTACCCAAAATGGCACCCTGGTACATGGAAGCAATGACTAAAACCTGTGGTACAATTCCTGGTGGTTTCATTTTCACCCGTACCCAAATGCCCCTCAGAAGCCATCACCCAGGACCCGATTCCTCAGCATCCGGGGTTTCTGGGGTGCCTGGCGGCCACGCCGGTGTCTCGGAAGAGGCCGTGCAGGTCAGGATCATGGCATCCAGGAACCAAGTCCTGTCCCAACGGCCTTCTTGGCTGAGTCCAACAAAAGTATTGTTCTAAAACTTATCTTAGGAAATCCCTTGAAATACACAAAATAAAGTATTAGGCTGTGTCTCTTTTTAGGGGACCTCCTGTTTTTTTTTGTTTTTTTTTTGTGTGTGTGTGTGTATGTGTGTGTGTGTTTGTGGGAAACCAAGAGGAGCACCCACCGTTTGGGGGTATCCATAAAAAAGACACACCCACATGTGTTGCGTACATGGGTGTGGCTGATTTTTTGGAGGGTACCCTTTTTGGTTTAAGGGGAAACCAAAAGGGAAACGAATAAGAAACCAATATTTTTGGGGTTCTCCTTTTTGGGCATAGACCAAAATAATCCAAAATTGGTATAACAGGTGCTATTTGTGTGTTTGTCTTGTTTGAAGGCGATTGTTTGGTTGCTAAACTGATTTATGCTTGCTAAAACTCCCAACCTCCCTACAACCTCAAATGATTAATCAGGGTTTTGTTGTTTGGGGGCTGACCTGGGAGGTGGTGGAGGGTCTAGGGGAAGATCGAAAGTAAATCTTACCTACTTCCCTTGGCTTTGTTGGTGCCACTGAAGAGAGAAATATTGACCAGTCAGTCACATCGACTTTCCTTCGAACGTGCAACAGGCAAAGATACGCCATCACCTTGAGCACTTTAATTGGAAGAGCTTCTTTCCACTGAGAGCGCACATCAGCAAATGATCAAATTTTCCCACTTGTGCACGCATGCCCTACAACAGCAAAGGCCCCAGCCAACAGTGTTTTTGTCCCACCCTCGTTCAAGTACCACCAGCTCAATTCCAAGCCATCTGAAATGATGGCCTGTCAGGTCGAGTTGGGCTCCGTCCGAATTGTTTTCTTCAAAGAAGCCGAGCATTTGGGAGGGGCCCGTCGCAAGCGACCCATGGAATCGGACGGCGAAACGTGCAGCCCTCCTGCATGAGAGCGTCCATCATGGAGAAGGTCATATCGTTGTCAAAGCCGAGCTTCAGAAACACCGCGGCCAGCTGATTCCTTCCACCCGCCCGGCTTGTCTGTGATTCCGAAGGGAATGTTCCACTGAAAGATGTCGAGACGGAGAACTTCAAGGCACCTGATACATGGTCTCACTCAATGGCTGTTGTGTGCCGTGGTATGCCCTTGAGACTATACTCCCCACAAAGAAATCGGACCCATGCAAAATGGAAAGTGTCATTTTGGATTTCAGTCCTTGCAAAGAACCACACGCCATCAGGAAGCCTAATCGATGTCATGATCAAGGCAACTCAAAACAAACACCAAACAGCTTCCGATGCTCTGTCGACCCAAGCTTTTCTCCAAACTTGACCGAATTCGACAACCAGCCAACCAACAAACCAACCAACCAACCAACCAACCAACCAACCAACCAACCAACCAACCAACCAACCAACCAACCAGCCAAAAGCAAGCAAGCAAGCAAGCAAACAAGCACGCAAACTAATCAATCAACCAAGCACCCAAGAGCGAACACAAATCAAGCAATGAAACACAAACTTGGGCTTTCGGTGAATCAGCTTGGATCGGCCAGGCGCATACCCTGCGCGTAGCCGATCTCCGGGCGGTGGACGCTCAAGGAGCGGAGGACGCATCGCAAGTCCGCGGTGCGGCCAGCCACCAGACTGTGCCTGCGGTCGATTTCTAGATACCCTCCCACCAACTGAGCCACCATCAAAGCCCGGTATTAAAATGGTGAACCCAGAACCACGTAAAGAATCAAGAAGGCGGCCGCAACTATTTCTGGCTGGGACTGCCCCTTGCTAACCTTCACTTACCCGGGTTTTGATTGTGCCTCAACTAACATGGAAGTGCAAAAGACCCTTTCCAAGAGGAAAGTCGTCTTGCAGGGGTCTGTGCACAAACCCATGTTGGCCGGGAGGGTACTCCTCTGCAGATGAACATGGACCACAACTAGGTCCTTCAGTAGAGAGGCTAGAAAAAGGGTACCTGATTTTGTTCTGTCTATTTTAGGGAAACCTTCCCCCAAAACAGGGTAAAAGGGCACCTAGCTGGGGGACCTAGACAAAGCACTGGCGAAATGAATGTCTTGTCGGGGACTCCCCTTTTTTGGCTGGCATCTGCATGCGCAAATGCGACCATATTCGTGCTACTCTCCGAATTGGGGAACAGTTTGAAGTCTTTCGAGGGTCCTCTCAGAAAGTCTAAATGCCTCGTGGCGAAAAATGAACTTCCCTCCTACGACGGATCCGCTTTAAAAGGAAACTAATTATATTCCAGTGGGCTCCAATCAGCACTGAGGGTACAACCTGCAGTACAACCTGGGAAATGACCCAACATGTCATAACAAGGTGTTGTTCTGGGCATAGCTCAGCGCGGAAATTGCCTGGTAGCAATGCTTTCCGGGTTGGAAAACCCGATTAGAACAGCATGCTTATCAACACGGACTTGCAGGCACCTAGGACCTGGAGGGAATGCCAGAGATACGGATGGAATCCCATGTAGGATATCTCATGGCACCAAAAAAACACAGACAGGCGAATTGGATATTCGTCTGAAGACCGACTTGCCCAAACGACCTGAAGACAACACATCGACCATTCGCTGCATTGATGAACAGAGGTCAGCACTGGAAAACTGCAATGTCTTATCCGATCGATTCTCTTTGGGCAAGTGAGTAAACGCTAGGCCTAAGCAGCATGCTGCGCCCGTCACGGTGGCTTCTTCACCGATGCCTGGTTCGAGGCACATCTGCGTCGATCTGCTCGATCACCTGGATGCTGAAAGCAGAGTCTGCAAAAAGGGATCCCTGAAATTGAGGGCTTCTACACGAGAGGAGTCCCAAAACGTCTCTAGACATGGAGACGCGGAGGGGGGGGTGGTTTACCTTGGAAATGATGCATGGGAAGCCTCTGGGCTGGTCCTTCGAATTCATCCGAGTTGCCATGAATGAAATTCAAGCGGTTGGAATCTCTGTTGGGATGGTAGGGGATGGAGGGGGCTCACATGGGAAACACCTGCCAAGAGTTGTTGCAGAGGTTCGAATCATATCACACACACATATGGCAGTAGGTCAAAAATAGGTACCCAAAATGGGTACATGGTTCATGGAACCAAGGACGATTCAACCTGCGGTCCGTTGGTATAATTTTGACCCATTCCCATATACACACACACCAACTGGAGGGCACCGGGGGCTCCGAGTTGCACTTCTGTTGCCAGCTTGGGCAACGATGGGTCGCCGCACACGCAAGCAAGCAAGCAACTCAAACACAAGCACAAACACAGCCACACGCACAAGCAGACAAGCAGAAGCGGACAGACAGACACAGAGACACAGAGACACAGACACACGCACACACGCACGTGACACCTCCAAGCAAACATAGTCGTGGCACAGTCAAGATCAACTAATCGTCCCCGACCGGCATGGGAATTTAGCAAGTAACCCCATCTCTTTCGGAAAAAAATGGTCAATTTCTTCCCAATCCAGCAATCCTTTCCCTCTAATGCAAAAAGGTACCCTCCCCTCCATACTAACACATGTTCATCTCACCCCATACCAAACCAGCGATTCTCCCGACCAACCCCAACGCCAGAAAGCGATATTGTGGGTCCCTTCGTCCTTCCTTCCTGAAACGGTCCAAGAAACCCGACACGAAATGGTTGGCCCAGAGCAGGGTCCCGTAATACTCAGCAGCTCCA